ACAACCATTTCAATGCATGTATTTTACCTACAGTTTTAGAGTTGCACCAATTCATTTAACGAAAAAAAAAAATTATACAGCGAATAGTTGATGTGTGGTAAAAGTTAATATTTTCTATAATTGGAAGAAATTAATTATAATTTAAAAAAAAAATGCTAATTCTTCCGAAGAGTTACTGCTATGGCGAGTGTATCAAGATAACATCGATCACACTGCAGATGGGATTCCGAAAGTAGGCGAAGGCGTCTGATACTGCTTAATTGGGATTCCGAAAGCCCATTGATTAATTCATACCATGATCCGGGTTAGTTGGGATTATTAGGGGTTATTACAGTTATTACAGCGTTAATTAGATCACGACACGCTCAAGACATAAACAATTTTCCAAAGCTATAAAAGCCTTTAGAATTGTTATTGTTGTTGAGATTATAGGTATTGTAAAAATATATGTTTATGATAGTTTTAAGACATTATGTAATATACCCAACATCTGCTGTATTAACCTCTTTATTAATAATTAACATAAACCAAAAATAACATAAAATAAAAATAATTAACATAAACAGTAGGTAAGTAACATAAGCTTGGTATTCCATGGTCTTTAGTATTTGGTATATGGTATTTGCTTATATCATTGTCTCGCTGGTCAAGAGACAAAGCAGCAATTATATATTTAAAAAAGCAACAAATGATATGTTTTTTTAACCCAAATACAATCAAGTATGAACTATATTGAAAGAATCTCTATCCCAAGTTAAAATTTTTCTATATTCTTATTTTTCGAGGAATAAATTGGTGCCTAGGAAACTTATATTACTTTTATCAGGGATACACATCCCTTCCACAGAGTTGTGGAGCTAATAGATTCTTCTTCAAAGAAACTCCATGACTTTCTACTTCTTAAAAATGTTGTAAGGGGAGGTAGAGTTATAAAAATTGCAGTTGATTTTGAATTGCATCCGTTGAGGTATCTTCCATGTTTTCCATTGTTTCTTTCATTGTAACGTTTCTTGAATTGAAACATCGCAAAAATACGGTACAATCCATAAAAATTTATGATCCCGTAAACATGTGCTGCCTCTCTTCAAAAAGTTGAATAGAAAAACTATAGCTGCTCCCTCCCTCCATGGATACTTTTTATTATGCTTTTAAGTTAAAATAATCTTATTTCTGTCAAAGAAATAAAGCAAATAAAAAGTTCAAACATTCTAGTTTTTTTTTACAATTTTAACAAATAATACAATAAAACACAATAAATAACTCACGCTTGTATATACTTACAACAAAGATGGCTCTTGTTTAAACATATAAGACTACTTTTAAAAATAAATATAATTGTTTTGTTTGTTTTTAAAACAAAAACAATTTTCTTGCCATTCTCATGTTATTTTTCAAAATGTCATTTTCAGCAATGGAATTTATTAATGTTATTAAAATATAGCAGGTTGCAAAACATTAAAATAGTCACATTTTCATAAAATGCGTATCACAAGGTTATTTTAAATTGTACAAGGAAAAAACGACATGTATCTAGAAAATTATCATACTATTTATATTTTTTTTGGAAAACCATTAAATTACAAATGCCATGAGAAATTACTATCGGATGGCTGGAGTGGCAAAATCAATGGTTTGACATTAGAGAAAATAAACTAATATGAAAGATGATAAAAACTATAAAAGAAAATAAAACTATCACGAAGATTTCTTAATCGTCCCAGAATTGGCTATTGTCCACTTACAAATATATACAAAAAACACATAGGCAATTGTAAGCACATATATATATACACACACAAAGATACTAAGAAAATACAAATATATAAAAAAAAAATAAAAATACCAAGGAAAAATATATATATTTAAAAAACATAACAGCGATGAACACAGATATATACAATAAAATAATGAGATATAAAAAAAATAATAAATAAAAATAAAATGACTTCAATCAATTAACTGCTGGTTGCCAACGTAATTATATAACCCAGAAATTTTTACAAGCTTGCGGAAGTTTGAATTTGCAGTAGTTGGTGGAATAGAAATTGTTTGAAGGAGTTTATGGGCGTGGTTTGACGTATGGAGATGGGTAAGGAGTTCCATAAGGAGGTAGCACGAATGACGAAGAATTTACTGAAGGAAATGGTTTTTGAGGGACTAATTAGTCGATTGTTTAATTTTTAAACTATCGACATGTCATTAAAATTTAAAATATCTGCAATAGATTACAGAAACATCAGTGTAAATGAACAAGGTGTTCGAAACACTGAAATAAAAAAATAATTAAATTATAATTCAAAAAGTGTTTTCAAAAATCATAAAGCATAAGTAACGAATTGTTTTTCATGTTGCTATTACAGACTACGTAGATGCAGTTATCTGCATGGAGCTCGACTGCATCTTTGTTGATTTGATCTGTCCATCTGTTTTTTTCTCTTCCCCGTGGTCTTTTGCCTACTATTGGGGCATCCATTGTTGTATAGAGGCTTCCTGATAGATTACTCTTAGCTACATTCCGTCCATCCTCCTTACTACATCTATAACCTCCTTACCCTCATATCATGAGATATTAATTGATCAATTTCTGTAATCAGTTCTTTGTAGGTCTTTCTCCTTCATCCGGTAGTGCTCTGATTTAAGATCACTCCGGCTGAGGATTTTTCTCTCAAAACTTTCAATATTCCTATCTGGAGTGTTGGTTATATAGCGTCCAAGTCTTGCAGCCGTCTATTTGAACTGGCTTTATCATTGCACTGTACACGCTTAATTTGAGATTTTTCGGGTTTCTAATACCTTTGAAAAATACAAGAATGTTCTGTTTGGGCTAGTTTATTTCCGTTGATCATTCATTGAGGAAATTGTTGACCCGAGATATTTAAATTTGTCCACTTTCTGGAACTATTTTCCTTCTACGCAGATCCTGTTATTGCGGAAGAATTTTCGGCTCGTTATTATATATTATGTTTTATCTTCACAAACGTGGACGCTGATTTGCTCTCCTTCTCTCATCAGGGTCTTGGTCTTATCACTGGACAAAATTACAAATTATAGGTCACCTACAAATTTCGGTATAATTTTTTAATAATAAAAAAAAACATATACCACCACAAACCATGAAGGGTCTTGGGCTCAGAACTATTAAGGGAAAGTACTGTTTCTAGGTCAACGGTTGTGCAAGGAGGTGATTTGACCGAGATCACGCTCAACCGCTAGGTTTTCCCCCTTAATTAATTATTTAATTAAGGGTACCCATTTTACAGAGGCTGGGTGTGCCCCAGGAGGGTCTCCCGACCCAATGAATGAAACAGATAAATACTTTTTCTGCCATCAGCCTAGGTTCAAACCTGGAACCTTTAGAATTGGAAGCTCAGCACCCTACCACTGAGATACCCCACTCCCTAAATTTTTAATAATAAATAAAGAATAAATATTTTGTAGTGTGATCCTTTATCAATTACATCAACAAACTGTAAACATTAATCACTCCGTGAGATTTAAAAGATAACTCAATCAGCGTTTGCGAGCTCTTGCTCACAGTTCTACCTTAGTTTTGAGTACGTACACGCATTTTAACGCGCTTAAACCTTTTTGTAGGCAAATGTTTTTGGTTATGATGTAGTTTTGGATATTATTAAATACAAAAGGGAGATCCTAGAACCACATGTGATACCTTTTGCCTAAAATATAGGATGCAAAGTCATTTCAATGCATGACAATGCCAGACCTGATACTTCTCGGCTCGTGAAAAATTACCTCCACCCAATAAGTACGGAACATACTTGAGAAGCGTGTCTGTAACACTCAAAATTTGGCAGATTTAAGAAGAATGTTAGAGGAAGGTTGGAACAATATCTCGTAAGGAGATTTAAGGAACTTGGTGAGGGGAATAAACAGGAGGATCTGGTCTGGAGAGGGAAACATTTCCTATTGATTTTATTTAATTATCTGTATTTTTCTTTTCTTTTTTTAAACTAAAATTCTGAACAAATGCATTTTTTTTCTGTCTTTCTTGATTTATTTGTTTTTTATAAACTATTCTATCGTACTCAAAAATAACCCTTTTAAAAATCTTCTTAAAATTTAGTAAAACTAAAATATTTAAATTATCCTTTAATATTGTCCGGAAGTTTATACAAACACAAAAAATGGATTCATCCCCAATATCGATCATAATAACTTTTCATATTATCACGAATATATAATTTATACTCGTGATATCATATCAACTTTTCCATTTAAAGATCATAAATTACTATTTTATGTCGATAAAAAGATAAGTCTTAAAACAAAATTCAAAGCTTGTTCAAAGCAAAAAATCACCTAACCATACTTCACATAATATATTATAAGGTCCAGATATAATATTTTATTTCATTTGCTTCTCTTTAATGTCGCTTTGACTTCCAACACCATTAGTGACGGATGTTATTAAGTATAAGTAATTGATTTAGTTGATTTTAAGTATATAAGAGTTGTTTCAATACCATTTATTTCTTTATTTGGCATCGGAAATTTTGAGTTTTATTCATTGGTGACGGTACGTTTTACACCTGAAAATATGATGCACAGATTGAATGTCAGTCATTCTCACTGTTCTTTCCGAATTTTCATAATATATTGTCACTCGCCTTCGTTTACAAAAAAATTCTTTGCTCAATAAAAATACTCAGAAAAAAAAAAAAAGTAAAATAATAGTAAATCGATAAAAGAAATAAACCAGAATTTCATGAAAATATGGAGTTTAAAAAATGTAGTTATAAAAAATATTCTACTATAATAATCTTCGAAATTTGATCACCTTTTCCAAAACCTATCGTCATTAAACTGAGTATTACAAATTAATACTTGATTCAAGTTACAAAGAATTGAGGTATTTTCTGCAGTGAATAAACTCTCCAGTTATGTGTAGGGGAAAGTTTCCCTGCGCTCTAGGGGAAAAGAGGGAGAATTCCCGATATCCTTCGCAGCATCAGCTCCAGTTCAGCGGTACCTCTTGAACGGGGAGGGTCTGTCGGCGTTGCTGTTCTCTAGTGTCGGAACATCGCATTTCAGGTACAAAAATATTCGGAAATTGTGAGAGTAAACCAAGAAATTACCTCGGTGAGGAATCGAAAAATGTGATCATATATGGCTGATTTGAGGTCTCAAATCTGAAAATATTTCAGAATTATTGTAAAAAAAAAAAGTTGAACAATTATTAAACTTTTTTTTTACTTTTTTACAAAAATATAAAAATAAAACTGAATGACATGCATCGAATAGTGAATGATAAATATTCCATAATCTTTTTTTTTTTTTTTGGATAGGATATATGACATGTATTGAGAAATATAAACTTGTAACATTTAAAAATCATAGATTCTGAAATTCATAGTATTTTTGTCATAATAATTGATTAAAAAATGGGAGATATGTAAACAACCTTTAAAAAATTCAAATTATTCAGGTCTAAAATTTAAACTATTAATCATCATTTTATTTTACGACAGTTGTTAAGAGAAACATTTAAATTGTAGACAAATATTCAAGGAAACATTCATCATAAACAGAAAATTCATAAATACCAGAAAAACGATTGAATTAAAAAATAAAAACAGAAATGTTATATGCATTCATAAAATATGCATAACGTTTCTTAAGAGAAACGTAATTGGTGGTTTTGATTAATATATCAATGTAATAATTTTACCTTAAATAAATTTTGATAAATATGCTCTTTAATTAGTGACTGCTTAATTTAAAACTTTCATAATAAATAAACAACGATATTTATAACTAGTTGGATTTAATAATATTTCAGTTTTTGATTTTTAGAAAATCAATACACAACGAAAATATACAAATGGATTTGTATCGGATAAATAAATAAAATATTGTAAAATAATTTATTATTGTACGTTCAGTGCGCCAAATTGTCAATGAATTATGAAACTTATTATATAGATATTCAACGCTAATTTTTTCCCAGTATCGGTGTCTATTTCTGTAAAAGTATGTACTTTATGTGTGTCTCGAAAATTATGATCAAAACGCCAGATGACACTGAGCACTTAGGAAGCTTAAAAAGCTTTTATAGGTGCTTGGAACGAATGGATTCCCTGGGTCACTACCATTAAGGAAAATTCGGGTTTACTTCGGTTTCTCTATATTCAGAAAGAAAATCCTATTTATTTATATGTTAGCATTTCTAATAACACAAACATATAAAAAAAATAAATTAAACAACGGTTGTTATAAAATGATAGGTACTTTATTTAAACACAGATTTAATATGTGTGTTTTCAATTTTCCATTAAATTTACTTTTCAGAAACTTAAGTTGTTTATTACTTCATATAGTTTGTATTAGCCTAATCAAAAAATTTTTAAAAGTGGATAATTTTTAAATGTATTTATAAAATTTAAATTTCATTCAACAGAAACTCATTGAGACGAAGCTCATCTTTATGAATAATTTTTTTAAAAAATCAGTAATACTAAGAAAAAATTGTTTTATGTTATATAAATATTTTAACATTAACGAAACAAAAACGCATTCATAATCTAAATAAATCCTTTTCTATAAATAAAATATAATTACGAAATAAACGAACACTACAAAACTATTTTTTTTTTATACACAAATATATTTTAAAAAATCCAAAGCTCTTTTGAGATAAAATATATAGACAATAAAGAAAATAAAGAAAATAATAAAGAAAAAACCTAATAATATTTTACTTGTAGCTAGTTAATCGTCAATTATATTTTAAAAGATACCAATCGTAATCAAAAGTGTTTTTAATGTCAATTAATTTTTCAAATTACCTTATCACGTGTAAGTTTAGTTGTTACTTTGTTAGTTGTATATATAAGTTAATATGTGGTTTTACCTCACTATAACTATTATCTGATGTGGAGTGTAGTGAAAATTAGCGTGGAAGAATAGAAATGGAACGACTATATTAAATTATAGAAAAATTCATATTTTAAGTATATACATTTCTTAAAAAGAACTACAAAATATTTGCATACAATACTATAATTTATAACTTTTTATTTACAAATCATTAAAAAAATAATGTATCATCATTTTTTTTTATAATTAATGCTAAACTGAATTATTTGAATATTTTAATTTTGATATTTAATGAAAAAGTTAATTCAAAATATCGAAATAATTAATGATTCTGGTTTATAATAAAATTAAAAAATGTGATATAACCTGTACCAGAAACTGAATCAAAGCCGGTATTTTAAAATGAAATTATATTTTTAAAGTATCCCAATTAATTTTCAAGTTAATTCAAGTCACGTATGTATTAGCCCACAATGGCGTCTACAGGGGAGCAGGCAGTCCGCCTAGGGTCTCACATCCCAAGGGGGCCCAACTATATAGGACATTTTTAAAAATTTAATCGTGACTTTTTTACAAAAATAAAATGAAAACTTTTTGCTTTTCTAGAAAAAAAGTTTTTCTTTTTTTGTGGATTTATCAAATAAATCATATTAATACAGGTTTGCTGATGAAAACCATTTCATTGATGATCCTAAACAAAGAACATACGATAGCAGAAAATACATATATTTATCAGACATATAATTTTTAGAGTGTCCAATATTATATTTATATCTTATGTAGACCAATTGATCTACTGATCATTAGAAACAACTAACATAATCATAGAAATAGATAAACCCGATGGTATAATACTTTTTGAATTTGAAAAATATATTGTTTTTTTTTTTTTTTTTTTTTTTTTGTTTTTAAGTAAACCAGTGCGGATCACCTCATCAGGAGATTTTTTTTGGGGGGGAGGTGTTCCAAAACAAATCCGCCCTGAGCCCCACCCGAATGGTCAGGTAACGGCCATGTAAACCAATAAAAGTTTATGTTATGTTTATTTAACACAAAGTGCCAATCCAGAATATTTTTTTTTTTTAAAGGGCAATAATTTAAACTCAGCGTTAGTATTTAAAACAATAAGCAACAGTAAAAATCAAAACAAAAACCAAAATTTTCACATTTATTTGATAAAACGACCACAATATGTATAAAATATATATATTGTTTCTATTTGCAATAATCTATCTTCCAAACGTAGGTCCACAAAGTTATCCTTACTAAATGGCCTCATAGGTTTTTTAAATGTTTTTAATTATTAAGGTCATGATAAAATAAGCGAGCTTTCAAAAGTTGTTTCTTTTTTTTAAAAAAACATTTTTATATCTCCAGTTCGAAGTAGAGATTAGTGACCAGCTGAGAAAATACATCAAAGCTTGAAAAATTGCCACGGTATTCCAGCAACAGAGACAATTCATATTTTTGGGTATGTCATATAAATCTTGACCAACCGAAACTGAAACTAATTCTTTTCAACCTCACTTTTATATTAATTTATTAATATATACTTTTTACATTAAGCTTTCATTTCACATTTTATCTCTCCATAGTTTGACATATTAGTGTAGATTAATGTCATATCACGAATAAAAATTTAATAACAATTGTCAAATACTAAAGTAATTTGATGGATATTTTCGTGAACATCTTAAAAAATCTACAATTCTCTTCTTTTAAATACCATTTATTTCCATACGTTATTTTCAGTTTAGATAAGATAAAAGACTCAAGTTGTTTCAGTAATTATCCTAATCCGATGTTATTATCATGCTAATAAAACAATAAAAAGAAGGTTAGTGTACAGTTAAAATATACAGTTTATACAGCGTTTGTTCTATTTTGCATAAATACACCAATGTATACAAAATTAGATAGACATGTATTCAAAATTTTAAACAATATCACCTACTAGCGTTGTATTCACACCTCTTCCTACTTATCATCAATTCGAGATAAGTTTACAAATAAAGCACAAGAACTCATGAAAAAATCTAAGTTATAAGACCAATTACTAATTCATTTTGGTTTAACAAAATAAACCACAATCCTCAAGTCATATAAATAACCGACTTAATTATTAATTTAAAGTTTCACAAAACATAACAATTCTTTGTTTCTAAACATTAATCATATGTAAAATTTTAGGCATCGAAACGGCTAATAAGACGAAAATATGTCAGGTTAGTAGTTTAATTTTACTTGAAAAGTTAAGGATTCGTTCTGGAAGATTTAAAAAATAATGCAAAATATCTATCACAACTGAAAACCAAGCATTATAAATTATAATTTTATTTATTTTTTTTATTCAGTCGTGTAAAGAAAATTCAAAGTATTTGTGAAGGCTCCACGATGACGTTTCTGATATCAATGGTGTTTACACGTAATATGTCATAAATCGATAAATTTAAATAAATTTCGAAATTAGAATAAATTTCCATTAAATAGTATCGAATCGAATAAACTAGGAAACTTTAAAAATAATATGAATCATTTTTAGTGAAAAATATTGGAGAATTAAATTGGTTACTGAAACCATATACATGACCTCATTAGATAGAAAAAATAAAATAAAATTTGATGTCTATCAGAGACCTATTCTATAATACGACTATTAAAATTTATATTGTATATTATTTTTTGACTTTTTTTTTAAACAATTATTTCTTCGAAACCTATTTATTAGTGATCTAAGTATACTTGCATTTTTTAAAAAGAAAGTGGATACTTCTAATTGATCTGAAGCAACATGATTTTCTTAATAAATTTAACATATATATATATATATATATATATATATATATATATATATATATATATATATATATGTGTGTGTGTGTGTATGTTAATGTTAATGATAATTTTGCCTTATTAGTTTCCATTGTGCTACTACTTTCCGAATGTAATAGACCATTAAAAACTGGTGCCAGTGGAAAAGCCAAATCCAGACTACGTTGTAGTCACAATATACCTTGTTAGAGAAAGATGGCTCTCTATAGAAGCGAGGTGACAATGCTTTTGTCAGCAATTCCTGGCACTAGTATTGCTGTTTTCAGCAATGGATTGTTTTCTACAGGGGTTTTGTTACGATCGGTGCTCATTAAAAGTCAAAAAATATGTCTTTTTCTGTAAATTGTTTTTCAATGTTTGCATTTTTGAAAATTTTCTAAACA